CGCCCGCGTACGAGAAGATGGCCAGCGCGTTGGTGTTGAGGTTGCTGCTGCAGCCGGCCTGGGGCACGGCGTGGAACCAGTAGTTGCCGACGGGCTGGTTGGCCTCGATGACGACGTCGTACCGTTCGCCGATGCCGATGAATAGCCACTGGGTGCTGAAGGGCTTGATGGGCACAAAGTCGGCCGTGATGACGGTGAAGTTGTGCCCGTCTAGGCCGACCTTGAAGTTGTCGTTGGTCGACGTGTTGATCAGGCGAAGACGGTGTTTCTTGCCTTTCGTCAACGTCGTCCGGCTGTAGCGACCAGCCGTCCCGTTGAGGCTCACGTTGGTGCCGTTGATGAGGACGTTGTTGCCCGGCGGAGGGCCGCGCGGGAATCCACCATACTTGATCAGATACCCCAGCTCGAACGCACTGCGGTAGTACCAATCGGTGATCGGGAAGGCACCCAGATCTATATCGTAGTTGGCCGTTGCGGGTCCGTTGATGATCATTGTCCCCACGACGCCGTCCGTATATTGGTCCGAGAAGTGGCTGTGGTACCACGTCGTACCAAACTGCGTGCACAAGAAGGTGTATGTGCGCGACTGGCCGGGGGCAAGTGGACATTCTGTCACACCGTTGGTCCCGTCCATGTGGTTCGTCTTCCATTGACGCAGACCGTGCCAATGCATGCTCGTCCCGTTGGTGGTTAGGCTGTTCTTCACCGTGATCTTCAACGTGTCACCCCAGTTGGCGACGATGGTGGGACCTGGGAATCGACCATTGATGGCGTACACCGGTCTGGAGAATCCGTCTGGGGCCATCGTGGTGTTTTGCACTTCGAGAAAATACTCCACCACCTTGCCCGTGTTGGGCCAGGTGCTGTCGTAGTTGGTGGCAATGCTAAAGCCATTGCCCCAGCATTGGCGCGTAAATGGCCCATTGGTGCACTGGGAATCTGGCGTCAGGGTCGTGGTTGACGGACTGCCAGTCGTCGATGATGCTTGCCTCGGCAGAACGCCATTGTCAATCCGAATCAATTCGGCTCTGGGGATAAATTTGGCAAAGGCCTGGTAGAAAAGAAGTGAAACGAGGGACAAGAAGAGCAACATAGCGAGCGACGAAGGTGAGGACAGACTTCAAGAGTGACAGAGTAGAGGATAGGAAGAGATAAACCTGATGGCTCCCGAGTCCCATCAATATAAAGGAAACCGAGATACTCATCTCAGATGATGGCTTCCTCCCTTGCCATGGCGAGATGTCGATCTAGGGACGGTATGGTGGATGTTGGGATCATTGTGGTTGAAACGTGGTACAGACGAGGCTTTGCCCAGGTTGTCTTGGACCCCTAGCAGCTTGAAGTCGTACAGTAAAAGGATTCAGCCATTCTCTTGAGCCACTCAGATTCTCGTTTCGATGGAGCCTCGTCCGACAAAAGCCAGATTGGGACAGCAGGTCATCGACGGCAAGAATAGAACCGAGACAATTTCTTGGGCCTAATTTCCGCAATAAGGGCTGCACTCGTTGTTTTCAATCTGGCCATGACGAATTTCTCCAGCGTATTCAACCATCAATGCAGCAGCCCGAATTGAAATGCTGAGAATGGCGAAGACGGTAAATAAGATCGATAGCTGGAGGCGTCGAGGCCGCTGAAGTCGAAGCATAGTCGTTTCCCTTTCCTAAAATGGTCTAGCGGGAAGATATTGGCCAATCAGACACTTTAATTCCCACCCCCCTTTTTCCATTGTGCGGAATCTGGAATCTCAAGGGACAAAGTCACAATCTTCATTGTTGCATTCCCCCTCGCTTCTTTCCGGTCCACTTTGATACTGAACCACAATTACAATTGTCTGATGCTCCTTGCATCGCTGTGATTGAACTCAGGCGCCACCACCCTTGTCCCAATTCCGGCCAGTCCAGACATTACGTGTGTCTATCTTGGCTCAGAGAAACCACTCATGTTTCTTTTATTGGAACCTCACAAGAGCTATGAGTGATACGAAGAAGCAGTTTGGCGAATTATGGCTGAACCAGATACCCGGATCTCCTTTCGAGTATCTCTCGTGTCTTCGGGCTCGCCTTATGCTATCTGGGGACCGTGGAACCTTGACACCCCCTAGACAATATCGTTATGACCAAAGCTGAATTTGCTACTGCAATCAAAGCCTTTGGCGATCCATTCCGCTGGCTTCTAATTTCGAGTTCAAGCCCACATCCTGGATGTTGCCGGCCCTTGATGTCTCAGCCTGATTCTCACCAAAGCCAAATTTCATGGGTACAGGGTTCTCCGGGTCTACATTTGCTAGGGAGCGGAAGACATTGTGTCTCAGATCTCAGAGTATCTCTACAAAGGGGTGTGATACTTTGGCCTCCACCGCCAACAACGACCCGATCAAGATGTTGCGACATGGTCATATAGGCCGGACATTGGTCCTTTTGTGAGAAAAACACTTTCATTTTGTGTCTATGTGTTCAATCGTCAATATGCATTTCATACTTGTCGCCGTCTTTTTGGGTCTTGCAGGTAAATCTGCTGCCGAATGCTTGTCGTATGGATATGACTTTGTCAATCTTGGAGGACCTTACTGTGTCAATACGACTTCTACGGCTTATTTCTCGTTTGGCACGGAATTCTTTGGTGAGAACAGCGTCCCCTTCATGGGCCGAGCCAAAATCTGACAGTGACAAAGGCTGCCAGGCAAGTGATGTACAAGACGCTGTCACTCCAATTCTGGTCGATCCAAACAGCGATGAGTACTTCTGCTCCGACATTGCCGTTCAACCAGACGGGGCGGATATGGTATCGACATGGTAATTGTTTGGGTTACCATAAACGAGTCTGCTTGCTAACAGCAACCAGTAATATCCCTGGTAATGAAGTGACCAAGAACAATATGTTCTCTGGAGACTGGACGATTGTCATTGAAGGCTTGACATTTGCCTGGATGAGATCGTTTTCTATCATTGCGGCACCACCAGTGGTCGTGACAACCACTCCAACTGCTACGTTCACCGTCACATCTACCCCGTCCACCACGATCACAACGACCATTACCAATGTCTTTTCAACCACGGCATCCCCTTCTACAGTTACAGTACCTACTACGACCATCACAAGAACCATAACCACCACCCCCGCCCAAGTAACAGTGTATTCGACATCAACCATCACGCGGACACGCACCAGCAGAGTGTTCTCGAAGACAGTCTCGACCACTACTGTCACCACGTCATGCAAAACGCAGCCACCAGCGAAGGATCCCACATGTACCATTCGGCCTACGAAGGCTACCCTTGCCGCAAGCCTCGAATCAATCACTATCCTCCCACGAATGCGTCAATTCGAGAGAAACGGTCGGAACGGGAATAAGAGAGCTGGCCAAAGAAGAGATGACTCGCCCGTTGACAGTGGCCCAGGTATTCGCGGGTGGACATGCTGGTGGTCATCGAATATGCTGACATCTCCTTAGATCAATGCACCACCACTTCTGTCGATACTGCCAACGCTGTCTCTTCATATACCACAGTGATCGCCCCGACAAGCACCGAAATCGACACGGAAAACGCAACGACGACAACTACAGTGTAGGTTGCAACGAGTGAAGAGTTCTGCAGGAATACTAACTCTGACTACCAGCACGCCTCCTCCAGTAACGGCATACTCTGGAAAGGCAAAGACGACAATCACAGTCACAGCAGCAACACCGACACGCACTCGCACCACTCGCACATATCAGACAGTCTGGACCACCTCGACCATTTGGGCCACGTATGTGTTATGGACTTTTCTTTGGTCCGATGAGCCTATAGCTAATGCCACGGCAGGATCACCTCAACGGTCAAGACGACTCCATCAGGCTGGGTCTGTGCCACGTCCGCAGCACACTGAGAGCAGGGAATCGAGAAGAGGCGCAAAGGCTATAGGAATGATGATTAGGAACATTAGGGACCATAGAAAAAGGACTTAGGAGGGACGGCAACTCACCGACTTTTGTACTTTCCTCTTCTCGGTCGAGTAGTTTAGTTGCAGTTCATCTTTCTTCTAGCAAAATTCGCAGCGTGATGATGCAATTTCTCGGTTCAGTATCATCTCCTTCGAGTCACAAGGTCGTCGTCGCCAATCCCGGGTCCCACATTTGCTGAGTTGACGGCGTCCAACTGGCGTTGTGCCTCGCCCGAGCCTCCCACTTTTCAATCACAAAAGCTGTTCTCTTTTCGATCGATCTGATTGTCGCCGGCAACAAGTCGAACTCAAGCTCGTTTTGACATAGCAGGTTGATGAAGGTTTTGTGCAGCTCAAGCCACTCGCTCATGTCTTCCGGCATCAACCTCACTCCATCATCAAACAGCCAGGGTGGAACTGGCTCACAGAGTATAACGATGGCTTGGTCCAATCTCTTTCTCAGCTCTTCCCAAGCAGACGTCTCGATCATTTCTTTTGTAACCTGCGGCGGACCGTATAGGTTGGCATAAGCGATGGGGTCGATGCCAGATCGGTCTGAGATGATGAATTCGTGGCTCTGGAGCTTCTGTTCCTCGTCGAGCTGCGTCTGGAGCACAAGTCGCTGGAAATTCATGGCCTTCTCGGACCCGGCTCGGATGTCGTCTCTGTTCACGTCTGCCGCCATCAAGACGCCGCGAGCAAGCTCCTTGATGACCGCAAAGGAAAGATGGGATCGGTCTCTGTGGATCTGTTGAGAGACAGCCTCGACCAGAGTGGTCTTGCCGGTACATTGGGCTCCAATGATGTATATCGAAGGGATGGCCATCATCATCAAGTGGCTCTCAGATGAAGATCAGCTGCAATCACAGATGCAGGCAGTCAATCTCACAGCCCAACCCTCGTAGGGGTGGGCATGAGTTGGCAGTCAAGGCCCCTGCAAGTGCATATGCACATCTGCGCAAATGCAACCATCAGGCAGCTGGGTGGCTGCATACCATCACGTGTCAGCCTTCTTGTCGTCGACCTCTGCTCTAGAGACATTCCTTCTTCGACGTGCTTCATCCTTGATTGCTATCATGAAAAGAGCAAAGCGTACATTACAGGACAACATCGCCGTTTCGGACAAGGAGTGGCGGTACGATATCCCTGGCTTGTCGGATGCAGAAGGAGGTGGTAAGGCTGGAGACATCAAATCAATACAGCTCTCCTCATCACGAGGCATATCCCTGGATTGGACCTCTATTCCTCGAAATCGAGCCACTCGCGAATACCGCCCAGAGGATCTCGTGCAGGTCAGCGTCGCGGACTTTCGGCCAATCTACGACACTCAGGATACTTCGTTACCGAGGGGCAATGCACAGAGCGTCGACTACATTCGCCGGTTTCTCACCGCTGGTATTGTCATCAACGGTGTCCAGTACTCATTCTACGGCCACAGCAACAGCCAGTTGAAATCTCGGTCGTGTTACCTGCTGGCCGGGTCAAAGCAGGAGGTGAGCAGGAAGGTCGAGGCGCTGGGAGATTTCAGCAAGATCAAGACCGTGGCCAAAAAGGCCAAACGGATCGGATTGTTGTTCTCGACTGCCGACATTGTCCAAGACGTCCCCACCTCCCGGTGTCGAGACATTGAAGATGTCGAGAGAAATGGCTTCATCTTCACGGATGGATGCGGCCTGGCATCCAAGGATTTTGTCCACTTGGTGGCGAGCAAGAAACCCATCATTTTTCGCGAGCAGCGGTACTACCCCTCCGTCCTCCAGATCCGCTACTCGAGCTACAAGGGCGTGGTATGTGTTGAGCCCCGGATGGAGAAGGGTCTCTGGCTCAAGTTACGCGAGTCGATGAAGAAGTTCAGCGGAACAAGTGACCTGAGCTTTGCTGTCGTGGCATTCTCAAAGGTATATACAACACAAGAAATCGGTCCCTGAGTTTGGAGAGACACTGACACCTCCAGCCCTACACTTACGGATACCTCAACGACGAAATCGTTCTCCTGCTGCACTCTCTCGGCATCGAAGCGGATGTCTTCCTCAAAAAACAGAGAGAATACTTTGGGTTTCTCGATCGGTCACGGACAGACCCTGTCTTTGCGTTCCGCCTGCTAAGCTCCCTCGGTATGACCGTCGAGGCCGAGAAACTCCTGGTCGAGGGGATGGAGAAGGTCGAACAGAGTGTGCGCAAGACTGTCACTCAAGAATACGGCAAGCTGCTCAACAAACGGGACGAACAGAAAACACGGATTCTGATCCCCCGGTCCCGATTATTGTTTGGGGTCTGTGATCCTTACGGCTTGCTCAAACCGGGCGAATGTTTTCTGCGTGTGACGTTGGAAGAAACCGGAACCCCGTTGACCATCACTGGGGTTAACGTGCTGGTGTCGCGGAATCCCTGTCTGCATCCTGGAGACCTCCGCAAGCTCGAGGCCGTGAACCGTCCGGAACTCAGCCACCTCACAGACTGTGTGGTTTTCTCCACGGCTGGGAGACGACCGGCTGCTGACCTCATGTCCGGCGGCGACTTGGACGGCGATACATGTGGGTTTACCCTGGATCAAAGAGTTGCCCTCTCTCTTCTTTACTAACTCAAGACAGTCTTTGTATGCTGGGATGCCGACCTGATTCCTCAGGCAATGTCAGAGCCAGCCGAGTATCCAGGAGTAAAGGAGGCGACTCGATTCACTTCCATCAAGGTAGATGATTTGATAGCATATTTTGCGGGCTACAACAACATGTCCCTCGGACGGGTCAAGAAGGTTTACCTTGGATGGGCGCGCGCTCGGGGCCCTCGCTGCAGCCAGTGCCAGGAGCTCAATCGACTCTTCTCCCAGTGCGTCGACGGCAACCGTATCACAATCCCCGAGGCGTTGCTCGATACTCCAGACGTTCCGCTCAATGGTGAGCCGTTCATCCTCGACGCCCTCCATGCCGCAGCACGGGAACGTTGCAGCAGTGTCAAGAATGCGACGAGGGCCTTTGATGCCGCGGGACACCAGAGTCTGGCGCACGCCATTCCCACCATGGGCATTGCGGATCGAGAGACCCTGGGATTCATCCTCAGCAACCCGGCTCCCTTTTCGGATTTCGAACTGGCACGGTTGACGCTGAGCTGGTGCCGGAGGAACAAGGTCCCCTTTGAAGAGTTCTGGGCGTTTTTCGACGCATCGCAACTCACCGTCGACGAGCAGACGTGGATCCTGGCCGAGCTGCCCCCGTCGCCCCGGTATCCGTCACACTTCAAGAACGGACTGCTCCAGTCGCATATTCTCTCGCGCGAGGACCTGCAGGCCTTCCGGCTCGACCTGCATTCCCTCCACTGGAAATGCGTGTTCGACTCCCAGTCCGAACCGCTGCGGAGTTTCATGGCGGTGGTCAACCGGACCTTTGCCGATTTCGCGAAGAAGCTCCTCGTGCTCCGCGTGGGCGAACGACTGAGCGTGGCAATCTATTTTCCCCGTCCGATCGACAGGGAAGAAGACGCCGTCGTCCACGACACGGTCAGATTGTTTGCCTTCCCGCATTCCCACCCGGACAGAGTCGGACACCGACGAGGTGTGCCCACCAAGATAAACTACAGGTTTTACTATGACGAAAACGGGATGCAGCTCTACGAGAACCGCCGCGAAAGTACGTTTGTCCACTTCAAGAGATCCGTCAATAACGACAGTGCCTACCGCGGTGTACAGGGCAAAAATAACCGGGCTCGATCCCGCCAGGAGACAATCGACCAAGGCGTCAACTGCGACTGGAGAGTGAGTATAGATCTGGGCAGATTCAGTGCCCAACTCGCTACCCATATCGGCCGCACAAGGAAGGAAGCAGTCACTGATGCTGTAGGTGACAGAGGATCAAAAGCAAGTGAGAGACCGTCGTTGATATCTTGTGATAGGAACTGTATCTCATCAGCAACAAGGACGTTCGTGCACTGCGGGCTCTCGACCTCTGGCTCGAGAGCGTCGACACTCTGGACGTCCTTCCCAACTTTCCAGAAGACGAACAGCCGCCATACAACCTGCCGACACTTGATGATGTCGACTGGAGTCTCTGTAGCGACTTTGTTGTTCAAGTTGTGCGGCACAAGAGATACCCCCTGGTGCTGGAAGCAACGGATGCTCAACTCGCGGATCTGCTAGAGTTGAGCTGGAGGCACGACCTTACTGATGTCGTCTCGGAGACTTACAGCCGAATTCTGAAGCTTGAGACTGTCGACCAACGTCCAGCACTGCGGTGTAGCCCCGAGATCCTTCGATGCCTCGTTGAATTTCTCCACTTCAAGCCTGCAATGGCGATACACTTCGCGCGTTTATGTCCCTGGACACGACTTCCCGACCCCTTCTCGGATGCCCTTCTGCGGCAGGGTTCTACCATTCTTGGTGCTCTTTTCCTCTGCGCAAACAGGGCCGGAGAGCTGGTGGTGAGGCACCTGCGGGCTGTGCTGCAAGACATATCTCTGACTCTGTCTATGACGCGCGAACTGTTGGAAACTGCCGCTATAGCGGTTGCGAGTCCGGATTTGCTGCTGACGATCCTGATGGAATGCCGAGAAGCATTTGCGGATGCCATTCAGGATCACGACGTTGATGTCGTCGCATATTTCTTGCGGAATATGTTCGGGACCGTGCTCGACCATTGCGCCGAAGCCAGCGATAATACTGAGATCACACCAGGCTCCTGGATGTTAAAATCAGGTTTAGCAGTCCACGGACGAGTGTCCTCTGTGACCAGCCAGCGCCGTATTGATGCCCCCAGGCTGGCCAGGCTCGCAGTCGGCGACCACGTGCGATTCGTGGCAAAGACGACCGCGACGAATTCCTCTGCTGCCAAACCTGCAACATTCGACGCTGTGGTGGAGACAGCAGCAAGTGACAACGCCATTAAATTTCGATGCCTCTCGCAACCTGCGACCTTTCTCGAGAAGACGGCCTGGGACATGAAGCATTGCGGCTCCGTGGTGAGCAGTCAGTCGGCCGGGGAAGCTCTGGTGCATCTTCTTGATCACAAGGACCAGAGTTGCAGCTTTTACCATACTCTGCTGAAGAAGAACAACGTACTCGCCGAGAGCAAGAGCGAGGGCGAACGAGCTTCATCACAGGGTTGCGATCCTGTTGAGGGTCTCAATGAAAGCCAGAGCCGCGCCGTTGATGTGTCCATCAAGTCCCAGCTAACCTGTCTCTGGGGACCTCCCGGTACAGGTAAGACATCGACCATCATTGCACTGTTGCGGAGGTTGTTGAAGGAGCAAGAGGCAGAGAGGGTATTAGTCACAGCACCAACGCACAATGCCGTCGACAATGTGTTGCGCCAGTACGTGAAAAAGGCGCTGGATATCGATCCCAGTCTGCCACGACCAGTCCGGGTTTCTACTGAGGTAAGTGTTCTTGCAACTCTTTGAACAGACAATTCATAACAAGTCTCTGCGCAGGTGATGAAGGTCTCGGATGATTTGAAAACCTACACTGTCGACGCAATGATCGGGAAGGATCTGAACAAGTATCAGGCTGCGAAACGCAAGGCGATACAGACGGTTTCCGCCGCTAGGTTGGTATTCACAACTTGTGTGGGTGCAGCGCTAGGTCTGCTTCGGAAACAACTCTTTGACACGGTAATCATCGACGAAGCGTCTCAACAAACGGAGTCCGCATCCCTTATACCCCTGGTCAAGGGCTGTCAGCGGGCCATCTTGGTAGGGGACCACGTTCAACTTCGGGCCACCGTCAGTCCCCATGCGTCCACTCTAGATTATGATGTCTCGCTCATGGAACGCCTCTGGACAGAAGCATCAGACAATACCATTGGTCGGGTCATGTTGGATACTCAATATCGTATGTATCCAAGCCTGTGTACCTTTCCGAGTCACGAATTCTACGGGGGACGCTTGTTGTCAGCCGAGTCTTGCCGCACGATTAGAATCCCGGCCTCGACATTTCCCTGGCCAAAACGAGTAGTGAATGCGAAGCAGGCAGAACCTGACAAGACCAGAGCGGTGTGGATTCAGTGTAGCGACGCAGAAGACCTCGGGCGGAAATCAAAGGTCAACCACGCCCAAGCCAACATCTGCAAAGAGATTCTGAGGCTATTGACCACTGCGCCGCCAGTAGCCGGTCAAAGCAGTCCAGATCAGGGACCTAGCTCGCCACCACCGCCGCCGCCGCCTTCTATTGCGATCTTGACACCATACGCGCGCCAGGCCGAAGTGCTGAAGCAGCTTTGCCCGGGACACACGGTGTCGAGCATTGACGGGTTCCAGGGCCAGGAAGCGGACATCATCATCTTCATCACGGTGCGATGCAACTTGCAGGGAGAAATCGGGTTCTTGAAAGACATGCGCAGGCTGAACGTCGCGGTCACCAGGGCCAAGGCCGGCCTGATCATTGTCGGGGACCAGTCGACATTGACCAGGAGGAAGGAACACGAGGATGCATGTCAAGTGTGGGATCGTCTTATCAAGACGTGCTCGAAGGTGGAGCTTCCTGTTCACAAGAAGTAGGTGGGTGCATGTTCGCTTCTCTGTGTGGCGTCCGTCTGGGGGTGGACGAACAAGGCGCAGTCTTACCTTTTATTACGGCGCAGTTTCATGTCCGTCTGTAACCAGTTGGCACACTGTCAACCAATGAAAAGTCTTGCGGATAATTATTAACCAATAGGGGAAACTCACCCCCAAGCCGGATAGATTATTCCTCCGACTCACGCTGGAGTCTCTCCGCTTCTCATCCCTTTCAGGTTTCGACTTCAGCCTCGTCGTTGGGAAACCCTCCACCGGCATTACATGCAGGTGCATTTCTGAGGTACCTGTGAGGATCACTCTGAGCCTCTTCAAGCTTGCGTGTCATGAATCGCACCGTCGCTGGAACCATGTCTCCCCAGATCTCTGTGGCCTGGCGAAGCGAATACGGGAGTATCGTGTATAAAGACCACGGATGACTCTCTTTACACATTGCTAATCATCAAGGAACCAAACGAACAGAGAACTAACATCTACCGCAATCGAAATAGCAAAAGAGCCAACAGTAAAAGCAACATCGATATTTCACTAAGATCCAAATACATCTTCAAGGAAGCCAAAGGGGAAAAAAACCCAAAAAGTCACAAAAGCCACTCACAAGAATCCATTCAAGCAACTCTATCAATGTCTTCTCCAACCGTGGCCTTCTTCGGCGCTACCGGCGGTGTCACCAACGCCATCCTGGTGCACACCCTTAAGGCGGGGTACAAGGCGAGCGCGCTCGTGCGCACGCCTCAGAAGCTGCGGGACCAGCTCACAGCGCAGGGCCTCTCCGCGGAGATCATCGCCAACTTGACCATCGTGCAGGGCGACGCGCTCGACGTCCCGGCCGTGCGACGCACACTCATGGCGGCGGCGGCGGCGTCTCCCTCATCACCGAGCGGCCATCTCCCCTCGGTCGTGGTGACGGGACTGGGCGGCAGCCCCAAACTGCATTTCGACTGGCGTCACCCGTTCCAGATCGCGCAGCTCGACAACCCGACGATCTGCGCGACGGCGGCGCGGACCCTGCTCGCGGCCGTGCACGAGATCTCTGCCGAGAAGAAAACCGGCAACACTACCACCGACAATAACACGACTGCGAATGATGCGGCCTCGGAACCGCTCCTGACATTCATCTCCACGACGGGCATCTCGCGCGGACCCGAGGACGTCCCCCCGCCCATCCGCTTCCTGTACCACCAGATGCTGGCCCTGCCGCACGCGGACAAGCGCAACATGGAAGACCTGTTCCGCGCCGACGCTGCGTCCGCGGACCCGGCCTTCCGCACCGTCGTCGGCGTCAGGCCCACCCTGCTCGCTGGCGGCGCCGACTACCGCGACGGCAACGGCTTGGACAAGATCCGGTGCGGCACAGAGGCGGAGCCGGCGCTTGGGTATATCATCAAGAGAGCGGATGTTGGGCGGTGGGTTTATGAGAATGTGGTCGGGGAGGCGTTGAAGGGGAGTAAGGGGAGGTGGGAGGGCGAGATGGTCAGTTTGACTAGCTAGTTAGCTATCTAGCTACCTATCCATCTAGCTGATCAGCTCGCTGGATTTCATCAGTCAAACCTAGAGAGCGAGTCGGGGACGTAGTGGCGAATGACATTTTGCAGCTGTATCAACAAGGGCGGGAGTGAATTTGGGTTTGGGGGCAATAGCACTATTAGCAACATTATATGGAATAATTTAATCATGAGGATTATTAGTCGTTAAAAAGTGCGAAAAGAATTGGTGTCTTCTCCATCATCATTCATTTCTCTATGCTCGACAGCGCTACAGAAAGCGCCGCAGGTATCGGGGTACTAGTAGTACAGAGGTATTATGCAGGGTGCTAAACAAACAGTGGGCTCTCTCCGTGTCTGTCCAAGCCACTTTGTCGATGAAAAGCAAATCGGGTAATGTTCAATCGGTTGAATGCCTTGTGCAGTCAACTCAGTAATCTCTCCTTCCTCTATGCACCTCGGTCTGATCCATCAAGCTTCGTGTTTTGTAGACTCTCTCTTTGGTGACTTCTCCTTGTCTCCTTCATGAGTCGAGAGAGTCCGTCGATCAGATCCTACTCGTTGTGTGATGTCTGTGCGTTGTTGTACGAGTCCTATGTCTTCGTGTGCGGCCACAGGTGAGGCATGAGATGACAATGTCAAAGAGGGACACGATGCCGTTGACAATGGCGGTTATGATGGAGCCAATGCCGTTGACGATGGCCATCAGCACGGAGCCAATGGTGCGGCAGATTGATTCGAACTGTAGTCCGACCGTTAGTACTACCGAAATCATGACGGGGATATGTAAGGGAGACAACATACGCAGGAGACGACTGCACCCATTGTGGCGGTCTGTGAGTATTGTGTGGGTTTATTGAGACGGTGAGGGTTTGTGTCTGTCTGAATGGATCGTAGTTTCTTGTGAATGTTTAAAGAATAGGATGATGGGCTGGCTTTTGAATGTCTTGATAAACAGGAGAGAGTCGAGGATGTCTAGAATCTTCAGGGAGGATGAAGAAGTGGGGGTTGGGGAAAAAGAGGTCTTTGTACTTGTGTCACTTCACCATGAGGTATGGGAATCATCGCCATTGCGACTGCCATGGAGACAAATACATCACTTTGCTTTCTTCACATCCTTCGCTTAGCATGATTCTAACCTCCCTTAGACCTAGCGCTTGGACCTCTATGCACAAGGACATCAATCCCGGCCAATACGAGCAGTTGGGGAGATAAACGTCATGGAGCTATGACGTTGGGAAGTCTGTTTGCTCGAGATGCCACGGGATCAAATTAGATAGCGATGAGTTGACCATCTCACGGCTGGGCCAAGTAAATGCTAGCCTGACCTCGAAAATGCGCATCTGACGGGGTTGCCCGTTACACTAGTTCTGGGATGGGAAACCACCATTATGCCATGGTGGGAACAAAAGGGGAAAGGATGTGCTCAAGGAAACCAGTTGACGTCTGATTTCGAGTGAGAAAACAAGGCAGACGGTGGCAGATGGCGGCCGATGTCGACCGATAAAGAATGGCGGAGAAAGAAAGTCTTGGGCTATCGACGTCATTTGCAGATCCGTGCAGGAAGACGCCAACCAACAGGCCGCATCCCAGGAGCGCAAGTGGCATAAATGGACGTCACTGGCTGCTGGTCTGATGGATTTGTGGCGGTTGTGGCGTCCCGCATCTCGATTTCAATTCCCCAGCCACCGCTACGAGCCGCACTGTGGCGTCGGTGGCGGTGCATGCAGGAACAGCTTCCCGACCTCAATATTCTCCGCCAATGAAAACCAATGTGCACGTACCGCATCGAGCGAGATGCTGCAGTTGGTCAATTGGGCTACTGAGTCGTGGTGGTGCTTATGGTCGTCCGAAGGGCACCTGGCAATCCCAGGCGTGGTGTGTCTATGCCTGATCGCGGCACTGACTATAGTCATTGGACGCCGATTGCTTTCCCTCAGCAGAGAAAGCGCAGTTCGTTTTACGGTCCGCATCCCTCAGGAGTTACGCTCATGGAATCTTGAGGATGTAATAGCCGGGGATGACAAACCACAGGTTGAGGCATGTACTAACCTATCGCTTGCCCGGCCTGGTGCTAACCCGTGTACGCAGGTGTCTGACGGTCGAATATACCCTCGATGTCCAGCGGATGGCCGTCGTTTAGGACCGCCCATTACTCCTGCAAGCCCCTCCGCAATCGACTCTGCCGTTTCAGCTGCAGCACGAGCCCAAATCCAATGGTCACAGACGACCTTTTCAGAACGACGTCAAGTCCTTCGAACGCTGCTTCGATATGTGCTTGACCATCAGGAAGACATTGTGGCTGCGTGCTGCCTCGACTCCGGGAAGACCAAGATAGATGCCTGCTTCGGCGAAATACTTGTCACTGTCGAAAAACTACAATGGACTATCAAACATGGGGAAAGAGCTCTCCGTGTGTCAAAACGACCGTCCAATCTCCTCATGTGCTACAAGTCAAACGCTGTTGTCTATGAACCTCTCGGCGTGGTAGCGGCGTGCGTGAGCTGGAACTATCCCTTCCACAATTTCATCTCCCCAGTCATTTCAGCCTTGTTTGCAGGCAATGCAATCGTAGTGAAGCCGAGCGAGCAGACATGCTGGAGCACGTTGTACTTCATCGATATCATCCAAGGCGCATTGCGAGCATGCAACCACAGTGTGGATCTCGTCCAGAATGTTATCTGTCTACCGGAGGCTGCCAATTACCTCACCAGCCATCCAGGTATCAGCCACATTACTTTTATCGGCAGCAGAGACATCGCGCACAAGGTGTGCACATCGGCTGCTAAAGCATTGACTCCTGTCACGGTGGAGTTGGGTGGGAAAGATCCTGCCATCGTGCTTGATGATCCGAAGACCATCAGGACCATTGACGACGTGGTCTCAATCCTCATGCGTGGAGTCTTTCAGTCTGCCGGTCAGAATTGCATCGGTATTGAGCGCGTCATCGCATTACCCGCAATTCACGATAAATTGCTGGCTGAGATTCTTCCCAAAATAAAGTCGCTTCGTCTGGGCTCTGTTCTCCTGTCATCTCCCAACAACCCGCCCGACATGGGCGCCATGATCTCGTCACGCAGTTTCTCCCGTCTTGAAACCTTGATTTCTTCTGCTGTCGCTCAGGGGGCAACTCTGCACTGTGGAGGCAGACGCTTCAATCACCCTGAATATCCCCGCGGGACCTACTTCACGCCTACGCTCCTCAGCAACGTGACTCCTGAAATGGAGATCGCGCAGAATGAGCTCTTCGCGCCTGTCTTCTTGCTAATGAAGGCCGTGGGCGTAGATGACGCGATCCGTATCGCGAACTCGACAAATTATGCCCTCGGCGCTGGAGTTTTTGGACACAACCAGCGTGATGTCCAAAAGTGCGTCAGGGGCGTCAAGGCAGGGATGGTCGCCGTCAACGACTTTGGAGCCTACTACGCGTGCTCGCTACCCTTTGGCGGCGTCAAAGGTTCCGGCTACGGACGCTTTGGGGGCGAAGAAGGCCTCCGGGCTCTCTGCAACACCAAAGCTGTCTGTGAAGACCATTGGTTAGCCCGGTCCCTGGGCATCCAGACGAGGATTCCACCGAAACTACAGTACCCCGTTTCCAAGCATGGCTGGGATGTGTGTAAAGGAGTCGTTGGCACGGGTTATGCATTCACCTTGGGCCTGGGGGAGTGGGCCGCATCTGTGGTGATGCTTTTGGCGGCCTTGATGAGAAAAGAACAAAGACAGCAGAGACACACCGGACAGTGGGTGGATGGGTGGGTGGGTGACACTAGCTGGACCGGAGCGAAGGTAGAGAACAAACTGAGAGAAGAAAGGATATGAAGTACTCTCATGATCCTCATACCTTCACCTCATATACATTGTCGATCTCGATCCTCCCATGCCGCTCATTCCGTGCGTATCCTACAGAAGTAGAAATCTTCAGCTGCTCTGGGGAAACGTCAAGGTTGGTAAGCCAACTCCAATATCATGCCAGAATGGCGATTACCCGAGGAGGGTATAAACACACGTAACCCAGCCCTGGATCCGACGTCTTATTTCTTCTATGTATTGTTTTTAGGGTTGAAACTTTTTGACTCCGCAATTCACGACCATGATATCCCCAACATGATGGCGGCACCCACAAACATTGCTGCGAACTGGAGAGCCGTCTTTTTCAACTCGGCGGCTTTGTTGGGACCGGTCTCCAACAGCTCAGGAATGACGGCTACTGTGCCTACGTACAGGAACGTGCCCGCAGTGAAAGGGAGCAGCATGTCGCCCCACGAGAGGCTGGTGCCCCAGATGCCGCCAAATCCTCCACCTGTTCCAGCTCCGGCCGTGGCTTCGTCGGCCGCGCTCCTGGAGGAGCCGCCGTACTCTTGCACAAAAATGCCGATCAGCGTGCCCAGGAAGGCGCCCACCGCCGTGACGAACTGAGCGCCCATGGCTTTCCGCTTTGAAAACCCAGACTGGATCAGCAGCGCAAAGTCGCCCACCTCATGGGGGATCTCGTGGAAGAAAACGGCCATGGTGGTGGTCGCGCCGAGGGCCGGGCTGGCGTAAAACGAGGACGAGAGGGCTAGGCCATCGGTGATGTTGTGCGTAAAGTCGGCGATTAGGTTGAGGAGACCAGCGAGTTTTACAGAGGGATTTTGTGGCGAGGATGAAGAGACTGGGGTAAGGGCCTTGGTGTCTTTCTGGCCCTTGCGTTGTCTCACGTCGCCATCTGCTGCTTTCCCTTTCTTTGCGGACGTAGTTGTGGCTGAGCCATTGGTGGCATTCTCGTGCTTCTCGTCGTGAGAATGGGAGTGTGAGTGCGAGTGGCCGCCGTCCCCTCCGGTCGCAATGCGCAGGGCTTTATCCATAACCATGAATGTGACCAGTCCAACTATAATTCCGACTCCCAGGAGCAGATTGCGGTTCGGTTCGACCATGACGAACTTGACTTGGTCATGTTCGTCCTCGCCCAAAAATATCTCAGGGAGCAAATGAAAGAGCGTGTCTCCCAGAAGACCTCCGACTGCAAAG